TGGTGATAGTTAATTTTCTAGCGCACAATTAAAATTTTTTGACTTATCGAATCCACCTTCTCAAATGCTTGTTAAAGGAAATGCTCGGTTGGCTGGATTGGAGAAAGATTTAGGTAAATACCTGATCGTTATCTCTCCACAAAACTGGGAATTTCCCTTGTCTGTCGGTTTTTTCTCATGTTTGCAGGATTGTCAAACGGACAATACCAAATCGCCCTGGCCGTATTTTTCATTGGTGAGGTTGTGATGAAGATACCATCGAATGTGGTATGCTATAATTTATCGTGATCTACCTTCGTTTTATACTTCCTTTTCCCATTTCTTTTCTTTCGGTATTATAGATACTACATAGATTTGCACCGTCAAAATGGATTTCGCTCATCATATTTTTCTGGTCAATCGTAACTTGTTTCACGGCCACCATACAAAATTTCGAAGATCTTATAGTCACGCGCGTGTTCTTGGGAATTACTGAAGCAGGTTTTGAATATTAAAAGTTTGCAGTGACAGGTTATTTGATCTCTGAATAAACGTTAATTTCTACTTTAGGGTTGACTCCGGGAATAATGTACCTATTGAGCATGTGGTACAGTCCCAAAAAACTTGCAACTCGATTCGCCATCTATTACTCTGGTGGGGTCTCGGCCGGTGCCTTTGGGTGATTAAAGAATGAAGATCTTTTGTCCTAAAGTTTTTAAAAAAGCTTTGATTCTAATTTTTGCCTGACAATTTTATTTTATCTAGAGGTTTGTTAGCATACGCGATTACTGGAAATTTACATGGCGTTGCCGGACTCCAAGGCTGGAGATGGCTCTCGATCATCGAAGGTTTTTGTGGGTTTATCATCGCCCTGATTGCATAGTAAGCGTCCCTTGAATTTTGTAGCACCCTTGCATTTCTTCATCATAAAAGATCAAATCCTTAGGACTTTGTTAAATTTGAAAAGCTTCACATTGCCCGACTTTCCAGCCACATCGAAATTTCTCACCGATCAAGAACGCATCTTCCTGATGTCCCAACTCGGTGACTGTCCATCATCTACAAAACAATGCAAGTCTACAAAAGAATTTGTGAGAGATGGAGTTATTCCTACTTTCAAAGATTGGAAGGTCTATTACGCCATGCTCATAAAGGCCGCTTGTGGAGTCGCCATGAATTCTATTATATTGTTCTTACCCACATTAGTTCATTCGATGGGCTTCGAAGTATTGAACAGTCAACTTATGACTGCTCCACCTTATCTGGTTGCTGTCTTCTTCTCGCTGTCGGTTGCTTTGCATTCTGACAAAGTTGGCGAGAGGCCATTTCACATTGTCGGGCCGGCTTTGGTGGCAATATTGGGTTTTGTGTTGATGGGAGTTTCTTCAAGTCCGGGCATCTCTTATTTCGCCACCTTCCTCTGTTCTTCGGGTAAATATAATAACATGTCAATTATAAAAATTTTTTTGAAATTTAACTTTTATTTTATCAAGGAGTGTGGACAATACCCCCGGTGGTTTTAACCTGGATTGCGGATATATTTTCTTTTTCATACGAAAAGCGTTTGGTCGCTCATACCGTGGTTCTCGCTTTAGCAAATCTTTCTGGTGAAAAATATTTTCCTATCTTTTAAATAATAATATTTTACTACTCATCGACTGATTCCGTATATAATAATAGGGACAATCTCATCAAACCTTTATCCATCACACGATGCTCCTTCATATCGTAAGAA